AGAAGTAATTTGAAATAAAGAACAGACTGTTTTCAAACAATGACCACTAAAAATTCCTAAAAATTAGGGATTAAATTTTATAGGATTTCAAAAGTATAGATTTGGTATAGTTATTACTTGTTTAGCTGACAAGACTGGACTGCATGTTATTTCTTCAACAAATATAACCTAATATTTAGTCTTCACTAATTCAGACTCTATAATTTGTCCAGAACTAGCTAAAATCCTTTGCACTAGCAATAAAAGGAGAGACTGAAAGCAAAATTAATAGTGCAAGTTCTAAAGGCTTTAAACTAGTGAAGAAAATCTAAATGCTCTTAACTTCAGAAGAACTATTTTCACATAAAGATAAATGATACATTATTCACCACACATGACCAAATACTTAGAAATATTTAGTTAATAGTTTATGGCATTATATGTATTTGAAAACAGGTAAAAATTATTTGCAAAGCCTAATAAAAGTTACAAATATTCACAAAAGCAATCTTCCTACCTAGCCATATACTCATATGTACTGAACAGAATCAGGTCTGTAAAGACAAGTCTCTTCTGAATCCTTTGTGACCACTCCATTCCAATCTCTTTCCTTTTGTGTGCTGGAATTTTTCAATATTCTTTATTCTCAATAATCTCAACAGGACATGCCCCCTGGTGGAAATGTTCACAAACCTCTGTATAGGATCTCTCCTTAAACCAGCTCAAAGCTCTGTACTTCTGCTTTAACACAGATTGAATTCATGTACTTAATACTTACTTTTTCCCCATTAAAGTAACAACTAAGAAAAAAAGTTTTAAAGGCCTAAGGACAACGATAATGGGAAAGGAGACAAGGAATATAACAGACAAAGGATATCAACCAGGTTTTGGAAACTGGACACCTGGTAACTAACTGACTTTTGCGCAACAGAAAAAGCTGAAACTGCCACAGTTATAAAGCTGCAGTTGCAGGACTTGGAGAAGACCCTCTTATGGTAGTACTTCTGAAGGAAAAGGTGAACTAAAAACAAAGACCTGAATTAAAGTATGCATCCCCCCAAAGTATAGCCAAGTAATCGTCCTCCTTGAGTTAGCAAAAGGTTTACAACCTAGAGTGGTTTACAGGAATTATTGGGAGGGGTGAAGAACTAAGAAGAGAACAGGAAATGTCTTGGTGAAACCAGCATACATACTGAACTTGGATACATCCAGCCCAGTTCTCAAACACTAGGGGAAGATTAGAAAATTCTTTTGTAGGATGCTAATTGACTCCAAGACCACTGATATTTTGTCAATCTCTTAATGAGAAAAGCCAGTCTGCAACTTTAACTCCTGACAGAAAAGCTGCTACTCAACAAACTGCCCGCCCCCAACAGTCTCCTAACAGTGCTTAACTCTTTGAGAGTATGAAGGGTTAGGGACTTCCCCAGTGGTCCAGTGGCTAAGACTCATAGCTCCCAATGTTGGGGGCTCAAGCTTGATTCCAGGTCAGGGAACTAGTTCCCACATGCTGCAACTAAAGATCCTGCATGCCACAACAAAGACTGAAGATGCTCTATGATGCAACTAAGAACTGGCACAGCCAAATAAATAAATAAAAATTTTTAAAAAGGTTTTTTTAAAAAGGAGTATGAATGGTTAGCCAATGATCACCAAATATTTGAAGTCTTCACTACTAATGTGAGAGAAAGAAAAAAATTAACTACAAAAGGAACAAAGCCAAAAGCAATGCATGAAGAAAGCTTTAAACAAAAAAACTCTAAAATCCTAAAACAACATTTTATATTCATGAAACCACAACAGTCCCTACACCAAAGAAACATTCAAAGGACAACAAACAAATAAACGAACAAACAAAAAGCAAAGCTCCTGGGAATTAAAATGTACAGGAATTTAAGAAAAAAAAAATCAATTCACAATTCCAAACATAAAATAGAAATAACGTCAAGCAAAAAACTGTAACAAAGACAAAGAGATGGACAACAGGAGAGAGAAATTATCAAAGAAATAATAGTAAATATTTCCCTAAACTGTAGGACATGAATTCCCACACTGAAAGGTCCTGCCAAATACCTAGCAAATGAATTTTAAAAGCTCTACACAAGGTATATCACAGTGGCACTTCAGATCATGAGGAGTAAGACAGGAACCTAAAATTTCTAAAGGGAAAAAACACAGTCACATACAAAGAGACGGCATCAGATCTTTTAACAGCAA